ACTGAGTGAACGAGTGTAAACTTTACTGTTGAGGATTTTTCACAAACAACTGAAAATAACGTTCGGGAGAGGTGCCGGATCGATAAACCGACAGCAATAAGCAACTCAGTTTATTGAAGCTCTTTCAAACACTTCCATTGCAACTTTTTCTTTCCTGAATAGGGCATTGATGGGGAGTGACCGTATGGGAAGTCTCCCTTGGGTAAATATGCCATTCACGTGCAGATAGGATGAGCTGGAATTAATCTTGTGCACGTGTGCAAAGAGGGCTAGTTCAGCAATTAACGCGAGCAGATGGCCATCGATTGCCTGGTGCGTATCGATCGATGGGTGCCGCGAAATTGCGGCATTTGTGCAGTTCCCAAATGGGACTACACTTTTGCCAATGGTCTCATAGCGTTGTTTTCATGATAATGTTGATGTGAAGTGTTGTGTGTATGTGTGTAAGTGTGTGTGTGTGTTTGATGAAATGCAGCTGTGCCCCAGTTCTCATCGAGGGGTTTTCAGCCCCGCGACTTTCTCTCGTCAGCCAGCAGCCAGTCAGGTGCGGCCGTCGGCATCGATTTCCAAGCCAGCAGCAGCAGCAGCAGGAGCCTTTGCTGTGCGTTTGTCTGTGCAGCATCAATCGTTCCACTCGCTTCAATTCAAAGCAATCCCCTCTTATCGCCATTATCACTAACTGTTTCTTCTCTAATCGGTCCGTACGTCGAGCGAATTAGCGTCCTTTGTCGACAGCCGCAGTTCTTATCTTAAAGGATTTTACATATGGTTCGGCTTTGGTGAATTAATTTCCCCGACACCCTTCCCAGAATCTTTCAAACCGCTTTTTTGACCACATTGTTCGGTCAAGGTTTCAATGATCACTATCCGAAAGCCATTACTCTTTCCCTTGGAATACGGCACTTCATAGTCATTTTATTTATTCGAAGTGTTTTCAAGGATTCTGAAAGCGATGGTTTTCCCGTGATTTTCCGATGTAAAGCACTGAATTTTGACGAGTTTCCGTTTGATGGGTAGCAGCCATCAAAATTGACGAGCTTTACCCAAACTACAGTCCATATTTCACGTACGGAATCAATTTGTGCAACGGTATCTGCTGTCCACGGTTGAGATTCATGAATGCATGACAGAATTCAGTCGCTTATCGTCCCATTCCAACTCGAAGATTCCGAATGACATCGTATGGCCGTTAATTATTTGGATTTATGTGTGTATTTATCGATGTGTCCCCCAACACCCCGTCTCACATTGATATTCGTCGTCGTGCCGCCCGCCCATGGTGAACGCCCTGGCTCACAGCCAACATTATCGACTTCCTCACCCCTACCCACACATACACACACGTACACTTCCACACATACACACATACACACACGCGTACACACACACACTCACACAAAGACGACTCGTCCCGGTCGATAACGAGTTCTGTGTCGACGTTTCCGTGCACAGTTTCTCATTGGTTGCATTTCTCTAACGTCTATCACATCAGTCTTTTTCGGCATTGTCCTTTTGAACGGTAGCGTTCAATGGGTGTCTGATCAACTCCTTTTCATACACCTGTTCACTGAAGGCGTAGATATCTTCGCCGACGGACTCATTATCGCCACGTCCAGTCGCTTATTGCAGACGCATTCGAAGTCGTAGTTTCCGGATGAATGGTGATTTACTTGGGAAGGGAATGTCGCTTTGCAGGAGGAAATATAGTTTTGACAATTAAACTTGTGATGAATTGATGACACAGGCGCGATCGATATTGGGATTTTAGTCTATCCGGCCTTCCGCCTTTTCGTTTTTTTTTTTACTTCTCTAGGCGGTGTCATTTCCATTATCGTTCAAGGAGAAGTCAAATTTCTCGTTTATTCGAAGTCCCACCCAATAATGCCAGCTTCAATTGGGTAGCCGCGTTTATTATTGTGACTGGGAGCTGGCAGTGTTCGCACAACTACGTATCGATCCAAGGGCGCAGGACGTGGGCGTGATTTTCAAGTGCAAAGGGGTTTCCAATAGGGGGACCGACGCAAACAGCAACTTCTATGGGGAAAGTGTGAACGGAGATCTATTCATAAACCGTGCATGTAATGTTTATCTACGCATGTGAATCGTTTGCATGATTCAATACAGCACTTAGGCTCCCGCGACTGCAAAGGTTTCGGGCGTCCCCCTGTCCTCTCTGCGTAGTCACCCATCGTATACCTGCGATGATCGTGCAAGCGATATACTAGCATCCCTTTTTCTGTAGTGGATTTTTACAACGGTTATGTTTTTGTTAGAATTGGAGTTCGGAAAGTTTTTTCTGTGAACTCAAAATCGATAAGGTTTCGGGCGTCCCTGCCCATCTGCGTAATAAGTATAGTGTGGGCTATCGCAGAAGCGTCAGAGAAGAGGCCAAAATCCAGATCTGCTTGAGCCCAAACAATGCTGGTGATGCCACACCCTAGAAAAAAAGGAAAGAGTGATTTATTGTGTATTGACCAATGTCTTGAGAATGTACCTTTCGTCTGTCTAAAAGTTGAACGTACAGGGAGTGGGGGAGGAATTTGCTTATGTGTTTAGAGATTCGCAAGTTTAGCTGAATCCGCTAGATCTACTCATATTTCAACAATTATCCCTGTTTATTGAATGCTTGGGAAGGTTTTACCAAATGATCCTTCTTATTTCGATTCGACTTTTTCTCTGTTAAGCACGAAATCTGTCCGTTCTTCTAACAAAGAGGAAGGGAAAAAACGACAACTCCTCTACTCACTTGTTTTGACGGCCGTAAAATTCGGTGTTGTAAGAACGGGTAGCATTTTCATGATAAACACCGCTAGTTTTGTCGTTGACAGCCCAAAATCGATTGCGTAAAGGCGGCAACAATTGTGCCTGCTGTCTCGGGACCACCCAAGTAGGAGCATACGCGTGCATGTTTGTACGCGTGGGTGTGATGGCCGCCAACGTGGTCGTCGTCGGGGTTATCGCCAGGCAGTACCGACCTTGTGAGAGCATTCTTTGCATTAAGGTCGCGACCACCGTGCGCCCACCCATCGCCCGTCCGCGCCCGCGCCCATCGATCTGTTTTGTCAACGGCTAGCGATTCCACAGTCAATACACGCGTCTCAACACCACCCCTGGGTGTGTGTGTTACTGGCTGACATCGTCGTCGTCGTCGTCACCCAGGCATCTACGAGGGAGCTGCAGGTAGTGCCACATCCCTAGAATTGGGGCACAATGCTCACGAAAACTGGTATAGTCGTCGATATTAACCCACGGGTGAATCGTGGCTAATTTCCAATTCGTTATCGTCTTCTAAATCTTCTATTTCTACGTGGTCATTGATTAGTTACTTCAGGATTGCTTCTTCCCTGAAAGTTTTTCGTTTCCTGTTGAATTTCATTGGAGCTATGTTTTCTTTTTGAAAAATCGGTCCTTTGGACGTGACTTTAAGCAGTCCTCCTTGAAGGATTCCTTTTTCTATAAATGTTAACATTTCATTGCAGAAGCTCTTCAATTTGTGCGTTTTTTAAGGAGGTTATTTTTAGCGCAAAGGGAATATGTAGAATTCAATGTAAATCGATACACTCAATAGTACGGTAGTGTTGACAACGTTTCTCTCGAACTTTGCTTTTTCTTTCAAGAGTTTGGCACTTTTTCTTCGCAATTGAATCCCAGTTCTCGGATTGACAGAGTAGCGGAGGTATTGCGAGTGCCTTATCATCACTAGTAGTGGCTGACTATTGACTGATGACAGTGGCCAGCCCATCTGCGCTATCAATCGCGCTCGCGATGCGCGTAGAGATTTTCATACTGTTAAGGGATGGTTGATAAAAGGGGTTGTGCGTGGTGCAGACCGAGACTGCTAACCTGTCATACGTCATCAGAGGAACAGAGATGTTGAGAGGGCAGTTCACGTTTCACCTTCTTGTTCTTGAATGGCTCAGAACATTTATTTGCTGCATTCGGTGTCGCTGTAAAATGAAAAGTGCAAAGGAAAACTGAGCGACGGCAGAATTGACGATGGTATCAGTGCGTTCTATTCCAATCGTTTCTTTCAATTTCGATCTCTATCATCAATAACTTGAATAATCTTCTACTCCCAGGACGTGCCCTTCTCTTTGCCTACCGTAGTCAATTTCTTATCCGGGTCTTACTGATATATAACACACGGTGATAGGAAAGCAGTGATATCTATTTGTGTTAATATGGATGATTTTTTCGTATTTTAAGCATCATTTCTTACTTAATTAATAGGCAGTTCCTTCAACTTTTCAAACTTTCAACCTGATGCATTGTTTGCAAGTGTTACCCTTGTGGCTTTGAGTTTATCGCCTACAGTTCAGTTGATGAAAACACTTGTCTTTTAACATCTACATGAAGTGGCTTCAGCTGGTATATTGAAATGTGACGAATTGGCCTATACGTAGTGCCTCGGCAGTGTTTTAGCGGTTGGCGTTGATTTTTTCATGAATTCTTCGATAGAACTTCGATTCTTGCACTTTGAATGTTAACTTTGCCCGTTTGCAATTCCGTGCTGTTTGACTGCCTTCCGTTTGAACTGGAAATCGATTTCACGTTCTTCTTGACTACCGTACTCTTAGCCTTCTCGATAGCGTATTAAAAGATGTAGTTTCCTGAATACCGTTCTTGTTGAGAGGGTCTTTTTGCTAATACCGGCATGACGCCTTATTGGAAGCTGGCTGGTCGGAATAATCTTTGTTTGTGGATTTCTTATATTTTTTGTAGGTTTCCTGTCCCCTGTGTTAATGTTTTCTAATTTACAGGTCGTGTGGTCTAAGAAGAAGCTCGTCTATCATCCATCGGCTCACTATATGCCATTCTAGCTGGCGGTAGTTTCGTGATGATCTACCGTGGATCGGTGAATCTACCGTTCGTATTTGAAATCCTTATCAGTTTAACGTTTCTTCGCAACAGTATCGCGGTGAGTGACTGTTTTCTCTGTGGTTTGACATCTTTTATGTCTTGATAATTCATTGCATCGAATTTTCTTTGGAGGGATCGCGATGAAGGAGATGCTTGGGGGTTGTTGTGTCTGTGCTGATGAGAACGGTTGGACGGATAATCCGCTTATCTACTGCGATGGTCCCGGCTGTGAAGTAGCTGTGCACCAAGGTGAATTGAATTTTTGTTATAAATCAAGTTTTTCCGACAGTATCGTTTTTTCCTCGAGTGTGTATGGAAATGCGGTTGAACACGCCATGTAATGTCCTCCATTGACTAGTGTTTAGATATTTTCAAGACTAAATAAGTGATAGGTGAAGTATCACCCTCTCCACTACCACAGATGCTACTGTAGTAAGGATGTGAGGGAATACGGTAAGGCCATTGTCGCGACCAAAAAATGTTGGATGCGATCGATTGGTGCACGCGGGGAGGCAGTTTATGACATGTCACGTGGTCCTCGACGCCAATGACTGCTTTTTCTAGGCTGTTACGGTATCCAGGAAGTCCCAGAAGGAGAATGGCTGTGCGCCAAATGTCATGTCGCCGCCACCACGTACTCAAATGGTGAATTGAGTCGCAATGGATCTTCGAATGGTGTAAGCCATGACATGATTAAGGCACGTTGTGAGTTGTGTCCATTCAGCTATGGAGCTCTCAAGCGCACAGAGCAAAAGGGTATGTCTTCGTGTATCTCTCGAGAAGAAATCCATAATCAGTGGTTACTGCCATGACCTCTTAAGGCTGGGCTCACGTTATTTGCGCTCTTTATATCCCGGAAGTGCGATTTGGTGATGTACATAGCATGGATCCTGTCATTTTATCAGATGTGCCAATGGAGAGGTGAATTCTATTCTTGCCTGAATTCTGAATTCTTGCCTCGCCTTTAAACAACCGCACAAGAAAGAATTTTTTGTTCTTCTGTGATAAATTAACTTTAGGTTCGAAAAGCTTTGCTACATCTGTGCAAACGCGGGCGATTCGCGGGCTGCTCAGATGGGCGCGTGCATGTCATGCAATAAACCTGGCTGTAAGGTGAATACCAAGCAGAAACTTTTTCTTAATGGTTGCTGGAAGAAAATTGCCCTTATCCATTACCATTCTAGCGAGGATTTCACGTAACCTGTGCCCAACAACGCGGTTTACTTTGTGAGGAGGGAGGGGGTAGCAAGAATGTGAAGTATTGCGGTTACTGTGAGCACCATCTGCGTAAAGCGGTGCGTTCCCATTTTATTTTCTTTTCCTCATTTTTTTTTNTTTTTTTTTGTTCTCATGTCTTTCTTTTGGTATTCATTTCATATGCAGTACATGGTATTTTATCGGCTGCTTGGTCCAGCCTCTTTACGTCTTGCCAGTTATCGATTATGCTCTGTCACTTCCAACGCTACGCTGAACACTATGCAAACCTAGGTTCTTACTTGATGTTTATGAATGACTGGATGGCCCTGACATAACTAGGTGTTACGACGTTGAGGGCAAAGGCCACTCTAAGCCAATACTTACTGTAAACAACGAAAAGAAGTAGCTGGTGCAGCGCGTGTGTGCATAACCTCGAAATAAATTAAACGAAAAGTTGATTGCTCTCAAATACATGGGCGTAACTGGTTGCCTCAGTAAAAAAGAAAAGGCGAGTGAAGACGAAAGCGAATCTCATGTACTGTTTACTATACGTTAAAAGTTTCCAATACATACTGTGTCGAAAAAGTCCGTGTAGATGTTTTTGTGCAACTGCGAATGCTTTATTTTGGCGTTATTGTTTAATTTGGAAAAGTGCTGGCTGTATTTCCAAAATTAGCTACCCTAAGGAATGAACGAGACACTCATTGAAATTATTTACGTGTTTTTGTTTTCGTTATTCTCCCAGGATCGCGTGAGCTCTTATTATCGTGTCAGTGATAATGCTCAGAAATTGAGCACATCTTTTCCGTTTGAACCAGATCGGCTCGAGCATATCCAGTGAGATTCTTTATTGGCTGAGGGTCATTTTGGTTAAGAGTTTTCTCTTGAATTCATCCTTTTGAGTGAGTTTTCACTTACTTGGGTGTGGCAGATGTTTATTTCGCTCGGGTATTGTTCGATCGTGTTGGCAAGATAGACCCATGTTTTGTTGATTTTTCATGCGATGTGACCGGACGGGATCTTTATTCTTGTCTGGCCTTTAGTTTCGTCCTTTTTATTTTCTCCAGAGGTCGAAGATTCACCGCCGACCAAGAGCAGCGACCCGCGCCCTTTGTTAGTCGTGATAGTGCCACACTGCTGGCGATGGACCTTTGTTGTTTATAATCCGATGGTGTTCCTCACGCTAGTTAAGGTCACCCCAAGAAATTTTGTCTAATTACTTAATTAGGCAAATTAGTAGATCTCTCTAAATTCATGAAGATTTTATGATCATTGATTGGCCCACAGTGATTCGTCATTAAACAAATAAGTACATTCAGAAGTGCTAAAACGTGAGCTAACAAGGTCGAATAGAGAATTTCGGCACTATTTACCTTTAGACACGCCACCTTCTCTCCGACCTACTTTTTCGAAGTTGGGTCAAGATTTCGTTTGGCGGGGGGTTTAGTTTGGGATAGGTTAGATTCACTTTTTGTGCAAGAACACCGTGTTCGTTCGGCACGAAGCCGACAAACCATGGGCGCCTTTGTGTCTAAGTGTCACCTCCATTTTTCACCGGTTACGGAATGCAAAGACGATGTTTTACACGAATTATTACATTCGCTTTCAGCGCACTAGTCAAATTTTTTTTTCAAAAAACCGCTTGGTTTATTCTGTTGGAGTGCTCAACACACAAGCAAAAGCTTTAAGAATACAGATTACCGAATAAGGCACGGTGAGGGTTCGATTGATTTTGGAAGATCTTGCCGTCCTCTGTGGTTTTTTGAAAGTCTTTCTTTTTGCTCGTTCATTTTTAACAATCAAGACAAAACTTCAACACCAACAGATGTGCCAACCGGGACATGTCTTTGCAAATGCTCATGTTCTTTGTTGCTTCCGTATGTACTCTAACAACATGGAGTTTTCGATATTTAATTGCCATTGGGTTCGAATTTTATGGTAATTGAGTTCGGGTGCCTATCATAGGTTGACTCTTTGTCCAGTTTAGTACCTCAAAGTGCAAATTCGCGTTGATGAAATGTTTTGTTGGTGTTTTGGGCGTCTCGAAAGGGTTATTCGCTGCGTCGTTCCCAACCTCCCTAAAACGTTTAGTTTTTTTTTTCTGTCACTGTACATTGTATAGATTGAGTCGCCATAGATTTCCGAGAATATATCAGGATAAACTCACTTTGTACGTTTAGTCTCAGCTCAATGAGACAAAAGTAGTTTGATGGCCGCTAGATAGCGGTCATAATTAACGGCAATCAACTGACGCAAACTCATCCATTGGTCGGTCACTACGGCGTGCCGCGTGCCACTAGTGTGTGTATGTGCGTGGCAATTTTGCGAGCGGAGCTGTTCTGCTGAGCGCTGATCGCTTGGTGCCCGTCCGCTCGTCAAGCTGGCCGGACGGTCGGTCGGTCGAGCGGTGATGAACGCTCGTCGACGGTGGCGGCGGCTGCGTTTGTTGGCGGCGAAATCGATAGCTCCCCATGGCTGTCAGTCGTCTCCACTGCGTCGTCGCTGCCGTCGTCGCCACAGCCGCTCGTTCCCCTCATCGCTGGCTGCTGTCTAGATCACACGCCAGCCCCCGGCCCCGACGCGAAGCCTCTTGTGCTGCGTTTCAATGCGACGTCTCGTCCGTATTGATCGTGCAACCATCTTATTCGCCGTTTTACACTCTTATAGCATAAGCGAATCTCGTTCTCAACGACGACGACGGCGATACGTGGCCGCCATAAGTACGTGCTGCTGCGTCATGTTTTTTGATTTTAATGATACAACACGCAAACGCATCCTAGCACGTTTGTACGTAAATAGTATTTGTATTCTGTGGTACGATACCCTTTCTGTTGTTTCGCGTCGAGTACGTTGTCGCGCTGCCATATTTGGTTCATGCTATAATCGTTTCCTATGACTTTACTTCCCCTTTTATGACTTCATGTTCTTGCGAGTTTTCACTTTGGAACAGAATGATGAGCTGAGATATATTATTGCTTTCGCTTTAGATTCTATATACGTGATGAAGTGTTTTCCTTCTCGAGGTGTCAAGTACTAGCTGAGTGGCAACAAATCGATAAGTTGTCGTTGTCGTAAAAGCAGCAGTGCGATAAGGCAGATAGACGTACGTGGAATTGAGAGTAGGGGCAGCAGCAGTAGCAACAGGGCCGATAGGTGTTGTGCATCAGTCACTCGTAAAGCCCGCCAGATACATATTTGTCGTTGGGGAGGGCTGCGGCCACTTGTTTACGTATATTTGACACACTCAATTTGTTGGGCAGCCTTGGATAACGGCTTGGTTTGGTTTGATTTACTTCTGGATGTTGTGCCTTTGAGTTTTTCATAAATGAACGAGATTAAGTTAGGTTGAATTGTGTGGTACGAGTTTTGTCGCAAGAACGTTACTTGGTGACCCGGTGATGATTGTGGTAGCGTCGTCATCGGTTCGATTTACGCCGATAAATCGGTCGCCATCATGTAGGGACAGTGTACGTGCTGAGTGTGAAAATTGGATGATGTTCCAGCACACTCACGCCAGTCGACCACGGACACATTTTACGATCGAGNGGGGGGGGGGGGGGGGGGGGGGGGCACTACGTGGTAGAGTTTGTTGATCGATCGATCGGGAGGACTGATTGGCTGGCTAGTCTTCGTCGGCGTTGGTGATGGTGGCCCAGCGCGAGTTGTGTTTGTGTGTGACATCGCATTCGCGGTGTTTGCGCTTTATCGACTCACTCTCCTCAACGATCCCCCTGGTCGACTCTCTTTTCACGTTATTCTTTTTCGTTCTTGTGCGGTCATTTTCACATCTCGTCGACTGCGCTTTGTCGCTGTTCCCTGAATGATGCACTTTTTGAGCTACGCTCCGGTATGATGACAGTCCGACAATTTGTTTTTGCCGTTTCATGAAATGACATCGTTTCTCGTTCTTCGTTTCAAATAAAAGCTTTGCTCAGCATGGGATCCGGTTGCCGTTGTGACTTCTATTCCTGGTCGACTTGTGTTTTTTGGAAGCATTTGCGTCGAGTACTTACTAATCAAACGGCGGATTCACCCCGTATTTTTCCCTATAGTTTGGAACATTGCAGTTCGATTGTTTTCAATCGGGAGACATATGAGTTAGGCCTAAGTGAATATCAGGGCGAGATTAATAAGAGATTAGAAGATGAAGGCTGCGTTGCCACGGATGGCAACATTTTGGTCATTTTCGAACTTCAAGACTCGAAGCTTCGACCTGATAACACTCCGACCCAGCGGCTCCACTTCTCTAGTTTTTGGTCGCGAGTACTCGCGAAGGGGAAGGTGTTCGTCAAGTGGTTAGCAATGAGGGATTCTTTGACCAACATTTTCTACTGAACAGATTTTGGTGTCGATGACCGAGTGGCAAGAACTTCATGGAATTCTGGTCGGCAAAAGAAGAAGGCCGTTTGATAGACTATCTATGAAAAGCACCCTGAGAAAATTTGAGGGAAGTCCATATCATAGATCGCCTCACTAGTTCAGTGCAATCAGTTTCACAGTTTCATGCGAGTATTATAGGAATGGCTCTAGATATGGGGCTATTTGTTGAGTATGTCTAATTCACCCTCCTACAGTACACTGAACTTTTAATTGCCCTACGGATGCGCTATTACCAGCTCCGTCATTCACGTGCGCCCTGCTGATAGTTCATACGGAGTATATTGTAATCGATCAATTCAGCCGATTTATTGAGCCATGGTTTTATGTTTGGCTGAAGCTTGATCTTTCAATAGTGCTGAATAGGTTTCATGAATTGAAAAGGTTATTGAAGGAGAAGGATGAGCTATTTCCCTTCTTCAGGAGAAGCAGCGTCCCCAAATAAATTTGACATCAGCTTCCAATAGTGAATTAGCGTGTGTCGTTTTTGGCAACCAGCTAAGAGATGTTTTGGAATACTCGAATTTCACGCCCCCTTCCCTTTCCCCTCCTTTTGGTAGCCGAATTTATGAGCGCATGAGCAGTGCGATGTTTCTGTAGTCGAATCCATGGGCACGTTTCTAGGGAATGGATTCTGAGGGCTGTCGCAGTTGGTCTTTCCTAGATTTTCATACTCATGCGATCTGAATAAGAACAACTGGGATATCAGTCGGAATGCTATGTCCTTGCGTTGTCAGTATAAGTTGAAGCGAAGAAATGGGGTGAGGTTGAGTAAAGATTAAAATCTCACCGTAACCCTTCTTACCCTTTCCGTCTTGATCGCATGCTCCTGTTTCCCATCAGCAATTGTGTGATAAACTCGGAGAGACTTTTGGTGTGACGATCACGTTTATTGACACCTTCTCAGAGAATAAGTAGATGACAAATTGATACCGTGGTTCAATTTATCATGTTCATCAGTTCTGCTAATATTGCATACATCAATCTCGAATTTGGGACATGAGACGCGCTGGCGCATATCACGATTAGGAATTGCATTAGGAACTCGTTCATACTGTTAGGGCAATGTAGAAATGTTCTTTGATGACATCAACCAGTAATAGTATAAAGTTTAATGAACGCTATCATCGGTTCTACAACTGCGCCTGTATCCCTCTTGGACCTGGACGCTTTACCATGCTTTAGTTGGGGTCCCCTTTTCACTTTTTACTGGTCAAGTGACTACTGTCCCGTCAGTAGTTCTTAGCATCCAATGCGGAAAAGCACCCAATTATGCTCTGCTGTTCTTCCGTACCTTTTAAGGTTCAGCGTAGCTTATTTCGAACTTTAGCTGTTGCTTACATGCATTAGAACGTTGGTTCAAGAAACCTACGGGTTTTTTATTAGTTTTGATGGCACTCACAGCTGCGACCACCCTTGAAATCCTCTCTTTTTGTTAATTTTGCGCTGGCTTTCTTCTTTCACAGGCGATTAGTCATAGTTACACTTTGTTTTCAATTTGTTTGAGTTTCCATCTCATTTACTTGAGAATGATCCACGATATCCTTTCCGCTGACCCAACCAGCTGTTCTTTCTTGGCGAGTTAGCAGTACTGACGGTTGTTTGAAGCTCTCACTATACGAGTTCTCACCTCCTAAAGACGATATCCCAATTCTTTATTAGAACCTTTGTTTCTGAATGCAGTTTGGCTGCAGTGCTCCAGATATGGTTGTTGTAGGAAATAGCGACAAAGATTAATGTATCCATTACTCAAGGATTGTGATCATATATGTGCAGTAGTGACAGCTACCTAATTATTGTTGTCGTTAATGATCGGAAAGCAATTGGTCTTGTTTGTTGTTTGTAGAGATTTTTATGACATCTTAAGTATGATAGTTCTTGCAGACAGCCGATCCAGCTATAAAAGTTGTGCCACCGTGTCGCATTCGGGCCCATCCGTCGTCGTCGTCGCAAAGTTCTGTGCCGTACGAGCCGACGCCCCCGAACAGCAACAATAGTGGGCATATGCTCGTCGATCCTATCCCAAGGTCATCATTAAAACGGTTTGACTTGGACACCTTTATATGGATCTGTATCGTTGATTGAACAGAATTGTCTTTCGCTTAATTTCCTTCTTTTGTTACCTTTCGATCAATGATGTTACAGTGTAGCCGGTTGACGGGGCATTTATCGCGATAGTGTTTTTCAGGCCCGAGCAAGTGGGTACGGTGATCGGCCTTGCGCAATCCTCTGAAGATTCGCATTTGATCAATAACTTCTCACCGCCGTTAACAACTTCGAGCAGGTCGTCGGTCGCCCTGGATGCGACACCGCCACTGTCCAGTGGGGGTGGAGCTGTGTTGGTTGTCAAACAAGATCATACACTCAATGGACCTCCATCTGCCAATTTCAATGCCCTTGTGAATGCCGCCGTAGTTCAGGTAGATTCATGATACAGACCTATGAGTAATAGGATTTTACCCATACATTCCCGATTTTGATATATTGAATGACCTTTTAGGCTGCGGAACTGACGAACCACAACAGGTTAGGCGTGACAACGGGCTATGTGGCAGACGCCAATGGTCATCATGATGAGAAAATCGTCGTTGATTCGGCCATCATCTCGTCCGGTGCTCTTACTCCTGCCACTGCCAAAGTAGCCACAGGTGAGAGCCGCAAGATCTTGAGCATTTTTCAACAAATTCTAGGCCATTCTCAATAGCAGCGGCCGCTTTTTCCGTTGCCAAACCTGAATTTTTGCCTTTTAGTGAAGAGAAGCCGTGAGCCAAAAGCAGAATATCCGGAAAAAGCGAAACGTCCTCGAGCCAATCATCGGACGAAAAGCGAAAAAGCATTACGTGATCTTGTCGGCCCGATAGTATCGGAAACGGTTTCCGATTTTCATCGAGAAAGAGTCGCTGATCGAACTGTGACCACCGATAGCCGTCGCATGGTTACAACCAATGCTACTCCGTCAACGTCGCATGACATGCCAGTTGTTTCGCAACAGCCGATTGTCACCGGTTTGTTGTCTATCGCAAATATTCCTTTTCTGGAAATGTTGCACTTGAGATGAGTTCTGATTAGCAATTAGCAAACTTGTCATTTTCAGCCCAACCTGCCGCTTCCACTCTGATTGGCACAAGTCCATTAGCTGCTGTTCGACCTCAAGGCAATGTGGGACCGTCAAACTCGACCCTTCCATCGTCAATGGAGCAATTGTTGGAGCGACAATGGGAGCAAGGATCGCAGTTTCTTATATCACAAGCGCAGTTCGATGTAGCTCAGCTGCTCTCTTGTTTGCATCAATTGAAATCTGAGAATATCCGTCTCGAAGAACAGTTGGTTCAATTGAATCGGCGGCGAGAACATCTCATTGCGCTTACCTCACGGTTATCCGTACCGCTTGGTGGACATTCGCAGCAGCAACAACAGCAGCAACAGGCACAAGTGCAAGCACAGCAGCAACAGCAGCAACAACAACAACAGCAAGCACAGCAACAACAGCAGCAACAAATTCAACAACAGCAGCTTATGCAGCAAGTGCCCTCGGTAAACCATCATCAGCAAGGACCAGTACCGACAAGCATTGTTAGCCCACATCACTCTCCGATAGTGGTGGCATCGACGTCCGTACCGCCGGCTGGAGTGGAAGACTCGCTGACTCAGCTGCGATCGCTAGCCAGTGGAACTCCTCGTCCGACCGGTCGCCCACCTAGTCAAGCCTCAACCGTACCGTCTACCTCCTCGTTTGGCACGTCTCAGCATGGTGGAGCAGGCTTCATTCCTCACGTTCAAAGCAGGTGAGATATTTTCATAGGTGTTTCATGAGGAGCAAGCTATCTAACACGTTGATTGTGAAAATATTGAAAAAAAACTCCTAGAATATTTTGTAAGAAATTTTCGGGGTAGCCTTCCGTCGCTTAACGATACCCATTAACGCTTCATGACGAAATAGGCGATACATGACGATAGCTGGCGAGTAGTTGAGCTCAAATCAACCATTTATTGGCATTCTTTCGTTGGAGATATATACCTGCTATTTAGTTCGGACTCCATAATTTTCGTGTAGAAAATCAAATCGAGATGTTAGTCAATAGAAGCTTCCGATCTTGATTATCGAGAAAGTGGGTGAGAGTGGGTCTTCGCCTAATTGGATTCGTGGCAAAATCGCCTTTGTATTAGTAGATACGTGGGTGTTGTTCCACTTCCAGACTACGGTTTCCCGTCTCCCTCAAAACTAGAAGTCCTCTTTTTCCTTATCGTCTTGATTGAAAAAGGAGTCTTCTGTGCAGCGAAGATTCCTTGAGGCTTTCCGATTTCGGCTTGTTCGCTATGACCAGAATTTTCGACTTTTCTAGGTCAAATTATCAGCTGTAGATCGTTTTGATTGTTATTCCTTCGTTCGTATTTCTCTATTTTTCGTTTTTTTCTAATATTTCCTTGGTTCCATTCCTAGTCATCGTCGATACTGTAATTACAAAATCTCGAAGTTCACTTTGTTGTTTGAGACATTTCTGTAAGAGACTGCCAAAGTTTTTACCGTTCAGCCGACATCGTTATTCTTGCCATCATTTTTCTGATTCCGGACGTGTCCGCCTACAGGTAATGGCGGGACGTGGACGTCACTTTTCTTCATTACCTTAATGTTGCCTTTAAACATTGGGCAGTAAAAATCTTGTGCAGTGGATCATTCATCATTAGATGACAAGTTTTAGAGTAATAAACTTCCCCTCTCCTTACGGGAGAGCTCCTTAATTGTTCAGCAGTAGATAGTGGCGGAGTTTTGTTTACATACCCAGCTGCACTCCTTGTTTGGTGGGCTACGATCTCCTGAGTCCCGGATTGAATTTAAAGTGGTTCTGCCACCTTTGTGTAGGCATTAAACGTGGTGCAAGTATTCAAGGTATGCGTTTATTTCACTTAACTATTTGAAATGCTTCAGTTACCTCTGGACCTTTGAATTTTTGATTATATTTTTATTCTTTCGCGTTGTTACCTGTTTCTGGGATAGGAGTTGGGGAGAAAGCCCTAGTGTGGAAGGCCGTTATCCACACTACTAAGTTCGGGTTGTTGCTAAATGACAATCACTCGGCAGGGTTTCAGATTTCTTTTTTTCCAAGTTATTCGTTTACTTCTCGTTATCGTTTTACCATTTTTTCAAATGCAGTATTGCCCTTTTTCAAAAATGCAGTATTGCAGTTCACCGCTATTGTTATTTATTTGCTATTTTCAATTGAAAATCTGAGCACTTGTGGCTTCCATCTGAAAATTCTGGCTCTAAGTAGATAAATTTTATCCCCTGCTCCCGAGGGACATCTGGCGTTTAATTCTTAAAGCTTCAGAGCATGTCATTGCTGAGTTTTAACACGCATCGGAAATTAGCTGAGGAAAGATTCTTCAGGATATTTTTAGGACCTGCTTGCTAACACCGCTCTTGAAAGCGAGATTAGCCTTCACACCGAAATATAGTCTTGTAATCAACTAGTTCAATAAAATTGGGGCTAAAAATAGTTTCAAGGTTTCCGCTAATGTTCGGTAATGAAGCTCCCAACCTTTAGACTTATGACAAACTGGTTATTTGACTTTTTAATTATTCTTCTTGTTCTTTCAAAGCCTTGAGTATGCCAATTATTTTTTATGATTTGATATAATTTCAGAACAACCAGCATATCCTCTGCCCCTGTGGTAGCAACAGCTTCGTCAGCGACTTTGACCACTCCGTCGACGTCGCAACCACAGCTGATGCCCGCCACTTCATCCGCCCCAGTAGTTTCTACGGAACTGACCGCAAACATCAGTCCAGAACGGCTGGCCGCTTTGAACCCGTTGATAAATGGCGGTTTTCTTGGCAGGGGCAATCAGATGCTTGGCACGGGGAACGCAATGGTAATTGATCATGTTCGAATTGTCTTTAGGGTTGTAATTCCCAAAGGGCGATTTCTACCTTTTCAGGATCCTCTGATAACATCATTTCTGTTGTCACAAGCGCAACATAGTCAACAACAATACTTGGCTGGCAATTCGACGGCGAATCTATTGGCTCGTTTCATGATGCCGCCCATAAGTGGATCGAATTCGGTACAAGGAGCCGGTGGCATGGGAAAGTGACCCGCGGTCCTGAACTGATATGCCATTCAGTCAGGCAATGTCAGTCAGTCTGTCAATCAGTCAGTCAGTCAGCTGATTCGTCTGTTTCATCTGTCGTACACACATACATACAAAAATTGTTCGCACGTGGATGCTTCAATCGAATCTCTGCGGAATTCGCTTTCGCCTTGCTATGAAGAAGCATCTCGTAATTACCTCATTATGAGTTGTTGTAATCATTTTGTACTACTATATTATTATGTTATATGTTTCACAATATACCTTAAGCCTTGCGGATCGTCTCCATCTCCGTGTGGATGATCCGTGGTTTTCGTTCTGATACTCCAGACTCCAAATCCTCTTTTCTATGGCATTTCAAATGGCCTTCATGCCTCCCAAAATCGCTGATACCCAAAAAACTCTCGTAGTGATTATCAAATGGAAAATTTTTATATTTTTTGAAATGTTTGTATTTTACCTACCACACACACCTACACTATTTTCTATCCTTTGATTTCAATTCATCCATAGCAACCAGCAACAGATGTTCCGTATATTTTTCCATATTTTTTCCCTTTTTTTCTTGTTTCCTTGCGGGTGAACCATGTAGCGAATGTATCTGTGTCTGGTTCACCGTTTGTGCGCCTCCTGTCTGTATGTATATGTATAGTTAATGGAGGTGAAATTTAAATGAGAGGAATGTTATTGTATCCTTGAATTTCCTCGTATGTCTTCCTCATCACAAAGTGAATTTCTTGAACATTGTTGCGAAGAAAATGAATATAACAAATATTTTATAGTATATTCCTTTTTACACATGACGGATGTGAACCGTTACTTGCATGCATGTTACGTCGGAGGCGAAATCCCCAAGGTTTTTGTTTATGTTGGTCAACGATTTAGAGATGGTGATTGTGGGTTTGACTGGTGGTATAGCTACAGGCAAAAGCTCCGTGTCGGAAATGTTTCGTGATCATGGAATGCATGTGGTGGATGCTGATCTTATTGCTAGACAAGGTGTGATGGATGTTTTTCTTGGTTCTCCCAGACAAGGGCTCTCGAAAGAGCAGAGATAGTGTAGCTACCAGAAGTTTCTTTCCAGGTGGCCCTTACAAAGTTGCGAAATAACTATTCTGAAGTCGCAGTTGTTTAGTGAGGTTGCATTGTTCCCTTTCTTGAGAGGTAAAGTGTAGGTTACCAAGAGACTATGTGGAGTAAGATGAAAGGGTGTCAGTTGCATTTTGGAGTGGATAGAATGGGAGGAGAAGGGGTACTATAACGAATGGATTTCACCATTGGGACTAGTCTACATAGTAGAACCTATTCAACATTAAGCCAGTCAGTGTATGGTGATTCCTGCTTCTGATAGGACTACCTGCGCAGTTCCATTTTGGACGTATAATCCAAAAAAAAAGCTGTGAGCTATATCGACAGTAACAAGGAAGAGAATGCATCTCTTGATTGTATAGTGAAGTTGTTGGGGTTATGCACAATCTGTATAGGTTACTCTTATTCGTTTGAAAATAGTCGAGGTGAAGGATTTCTATTTGGGGTGTAGTGGTTGGTGCTGAGAAGAGATTATATTGAGGCTAAGGTAGGATTTAGCAGAAGATAAGTATTCGGACTGAGGAGAATGACTCGATCCAAATCGTATTCCTTTTCCGAATTCGGTTGACTGTTACCAACAGATGTGAGAAATGGATAAATCATTTTGAATTGATAAGTGCAGGCCAATTTCTTTCTTTACGATTTGTCGCTCTACTACGAATGGGTAGAAAGTTGGTAATTGGTTCTTAGGAGTTCATAATCGACTCTATCACGCTTGTAGGTTGGAGTCTTTGGAAGCAGTTAGCCACCACATACAATTAAAAGAATAATGTCTCTGGGCGTCAATCGGTCGGTCCTGTCCGAAGGATGGCCCATGCAGTCCACCTCTATACAGAATCGCAGTGGTGGATTGAATACGCATGTGACCTATAATGACTTGCAGTGGCCAGCCAAAGTACGTGTCAGGGCTTTTACTCTTCCCAGACAAGTCTGGTCCTAATAATCGATCCATGAGGGATGGAAGGCTTGGTTGGCCTAGTGGGACAGCGACCTAGTTCGAACCCGTGACATGTGTATGAGATAGTGCACTCTCTTGCTATTACACAACCTCTGCTCACATAACCGTTAATGGTAGGAAAATTTCTGTCTCTAAAAACTTCCCTTGATATCATCTTGTTTGTCTCGATATTGTCATAATTAGTGAGCAGGTGTCGAGCCCTTAAAGTGGCTTTTTTTTGGCCTGAAACATAAGTATACTACCGAAACACGGGTACCTGAACATAGAAACATTGTTGACTTCTGGGTAGGACTCCATGTTTCGATTGAGATTTAAGTAAGTTTCCCTTGCTTTTCGCCTTGCCAATAAAACATTCTAAGGGCTCGACATGACGTCAGAGAGGGACCTATTGCGATTGTATACTGGCTGTTATATGTATAAACCGTGGAGGGAGTGGGTGACTATGAAAAGTTATTCCTTGCTTTGCAGTCAACCTAACTGATAGGAATTCAAGTATCAAAAAAGTCGACATATGTGGTCCGGTGCCAAATCTGTACTAAGACATGCGATAAAACCTAAGCTGAGGTAGTACAGCCTCATTCGGAAAATGTTTCTGCCTTTCGCCTTTGTTATAGCCTTAACACGTGGACGACAACGCACGTTTGGACAATTTGGGCAGCGTGGGACAGACGTCGGCAGCTTCGACCGCGGTACACATATGTCCGCGCTGTCCCTTGAGGCGCGCTTTTGGAAGCTTGAGTGTAAAACCTTTTTTCAACTACTTATCGCTACTTACTAAGTTGATTAATAAAATGAAAAGCACGCGTAAATGTTCTACATAATAAATATTACGCCCTAACAAATGTATACACGGACATACAATGGCTGGAATAGAAGAATACATGGACGATACTATACACTCGACCATCTTGTGACACCGCAGTGCGAAAGGAGGAGAACCAGATATCCAGATAATGCGCGAATTCGGACGACGGAGAGCAAGTAACTACTGTAGAAGAAGTAGGTGATCTGGAAGAAGATATGGAATCTAAATTAGAAGAAGAACAATCCGATAGTGAAAGCATGGTAGTTAAACAATGTTTCGCTGCACGATGCTTAGACTTTAAGTGGTGCCTCCGGCTTACATAATGTTGTTTATGACTGTCAGGAACCAAGAGACTTCTAGGAACTGTTTCTGAATAGAGAGATTCTGGCCTCATCGTTAGAGAAACCAATAGCTACGGGAGAAGAACTCATAATTAAGCCCAGTTAAATAGCATTTCAGACTTCATCTCGGTTCAAACAAAGGCCATAGAAACCTAAATGGTAACGTGAATAATTAATTTTGTTGTAAGTGGTTTCAGCAACACAGCTAGAAAAAGCATGCAACTGGTAAAATAAGAGTTGGTAAGTTCACGGGGACAGCAGCGGCAGCCGCGTCATTGGAGTGGCCTGAAGGTCCTTGAAATCGGTAAGCTTGTGTAGTAGGTCGTATAGTTAAGCAAGGGTGCACTTAAAACCCGCGTCCTCGCTTTTTTATCGGATCACGAAATCATCTGCCAAATCGAGAGCCTCATATTTGGTTCCAACTTGTTTCTTTTGATTCTTCTTTGACGGTGAGCCTTTAAACCCTTTCACTTCAAGCGTTACAGTACATACCTTGACCCTATAGTAGTGTGCAGTGAAGATGGTTTCCCTTCTCTTTTTGATGGACTTACCAAATAATGAAGTGCTATCCCATCCCGTGGGCATTCCATATTACAGTTGTCGAACCTGGACGACCAGCTTATTTGGAACTTCGATCTGCATTTGGTGATGAATTCTTCGATGCTTCAAGTGGCATGCTTGATCGGCCAAAAATGGCTGCTGTCGTTTTCAACGATGTCGAGGTACTTTTCGTCTCCTCTCCTACGGTTTTTTGCAGTTCGTGACAATAAAGTCAGTACAAGTTTGCTGGGTAACGGACAAGTCGCTCAGCCGCGTAGCGAATTGAGACCGTACCCGCATTGCCTCGGTGTCGTGCTCCTTTTCCTTATTCACCACCTAAATCCCTTCTTTTGCGTCCTTATGGGTTGCGGACGAAATACTGCTAGGATTCAGGTGGGAGCACTTTTTTCGGTAGAGTAAGAAGTAGGAGAATGACGTTCGTCCAGGAGAACGCCTTCGAATCCCATCCAAAGCCAAGAGTTCTAAGCAAAAGACAGCGATCTTCTGATTTAAAGTAGTCATGGTTTCAATGGGGCCCGGAAGGTTATGGGGGCAACGGCTTCTTTAGGAATACCTGATTCAGCGGTCAGTCTTAAAAAGGAACTTGCGCTCACCAAGACTTACAATGTAGAGCCAACTGGTGAAATGGAACATACTGTTATTGCGAATAACTTCTATCGCCTTACTATTCTCGTACACCTTCTACTGATGGAGATAGCTTGAATACTGAAAATTAGCCTACTATATTGAATAACTGTAATTCCTGAGAAAACCAACAGATGTGCACTTTTTACTGCAACGAGTCATAGCTCCTCACGTCAGTTTGAATGTTCCTAGAATCGGGTTGAGAAACCAAGCATAACGGGGTTCAAAATAATGCACCACACTTGACGACGTGCGCGTCCACTACTCCAAATTTGCAGTTGGGAGCGTTTACTTTTCATGGCAAGGCCTACTTTCAGTCAGTCTTACTATTCTTTACTGAATCAAAACTCAAGGGCGAAACAAAAATAGAATTACAACCCCGCAAGCACGCGCTGCTCCCGCGCGCATGTTCCTCGTGAAATTCTTCGCATTCCATTTTTGTGAATTTTGAAGGTAATGACTCTTTTTAGAAACGGCGAAAGCTGAATTCAATTTTGCATCCGGCTATTCGTTGGGAGATGTTCGTACAGATGCTCAAGTATCTGCTCTTCGGTAGTCATTATATCGTGCTCGACACACCTCTTCTTTTCGAATCCGGCTACCATAAAATTCTCTGGACAGTCATCGTGGTTTGGTGGTAGGTCTGTTTCTGTTTCTATCTCTTCCGGGTCTGGGTTAAGATTGTGATCGGAATTCTTTTGGCGCGCAACGTCCTCTCCAGCTTTACATTCAATGCGAGAAGCGACGCGACCGTGCGCGTCGCTGCTCCCAGTATAACTGGAGAAAACATCGTCTATTCATTGTTGGAGTGTTGTGAAGATCAAATGTAGGGGCAGTTCAATGGTAAGTATGATGACGGAATACTTCTCCAAACTACCGTTTCTATTGATAGGGGGTAGTTACAAAAATTCATCCAGTATAGATTCTTGAACCCGCTTATTTCAGTGACGACGACACCCAACTGAATCGACTGATGTTACGCGACAATCTGACAAAAGAGGAAGCACTGTCGAGAATTACCAGCCAATTTCCGATACGAAAAAAGATGGAGTTGGCTACGATTCTAATAGACAACAACGGAACGAAAGAAGATTTACGAACAAAGGTTCGACCTTAATGTCACCAAACGTCATTATTTATGAACAAGGAAAAAAGATAGTGCTGTCTTCATTACTTTGCGGCTTTTAACTGGTATATAACTTCTCAAATCTATTCTATTATATCAGAACTACTCAAAACGACTCAGTTGGGTTTCAATGTGTGTTTACTTCATTCTGTTAGTTGCTGCTACTTGCTTACTGTGTTACTTATTATATATATCCTGTGTATATAACGCGCTAAACACTAACACACTCAAAAGTCTTCGGCCCAACGCCCTTACGCTTCTTCGTTCATAACTTTTTCATTAGTGGAGCAAATCGATACTATTTGACTGAGCAGCAATATCTACAGATAGAGGAAGGTGTTCGTTGCGGTAGCAGACTTTGTTGAAAGCAAAGGAAGTGACGTCTGTAGTTATTCGCACCTGATGTGCGTTTTTCCTTCTATTGCGTTCGGCATTAGTGCTCGTACACTTTAGACATGGCAAAGAGGAAGTAAATTCCAGAAAGGCCACCTTACGTATTTCAAATTGATTTTGAGTTCAAGCCCTTTGGGATATCTGGAACAGGATCAGATTGCAGGTTGATAGTGGTAAATATTCACAATACACCAATGCTACACATATTGAAATTTCGCTTGATTAGATCCAGTAGGAAAGGAGTTACGACTGAAAAGTACAACTGAAGAAGC